AACATTTATGTTGCTGATAAAGCCGCAGCCTAAAGAGAAGTCGGCGGTGAAGGAAGAAGAGCTTTGTGAGACGGGCTTCGGTTTTAGGACCTGGAGAGGTGATTGAGGTGGTATTATCCGTCAGGCGAACGCGTGTGAATTATACCCAGCGGAATCACTTAATAAATACAAGTACTCAGCTATAGAAATGTATGTAAATTGTTACTTTACCTTAAGTGAAGTATGAGCTATATACATACAAAATAAGCTATATACCTACAAATTTAGAGCCTAAATACTTACGTCCCACTGCTGGGCACAGGCCTGCTTTGATTTCTGAGAGGGTTGTTGAGCGATAAGCCGGCCGTACTGTCTAGTTCACAGATTCCCCTACGAGTTTATCCCTGACCAAAATGTTGCGAAAGTGCGTTTTTCAGTCGTTATTATCTCATTAGTTATGAAAAATAAACTACATCTAAAAGTACATTATTAATGTTCGATATCTTGTCATCACATTCCACGTTCTAATTTATTTTTATGTGCTATAAATACATTTAAAATCAACTTTTAAAAAATTATTCTTGATTACATGTATCTGTTGCTAAACGCAACGCTCTAATCATTTGAGGATTACACTAATGGATAGATAATTTAAAAATCTATATTCTCCATTTTTCGTTTTTCTTTTTTAATTGAAATAATTCCGAAAATTGTGTGAATTCTATGATAAAGGGGCGTGCGCAGAGTGCGGGCGGCATTACGCTGTATGCGTTTGTACGAGGTAGCTGTGTCGCTCGTCGCCGTCGTCGGCGTTCCGTATTTCGCCGCAAACATAATATTATTTGAGTACCTACCTACCAACCGATGCGCTTACGTGTTTTTTACTACAAAAAGACGCTACGATTATGAAAATATAATTTTGTGGATTGATTATTGCAAATGCCTAAATTCAAGAAGAATAAACGTCAACGACGTCAAAATGCTCTAAAGATGAATGAAATTCTGTAAGTAATTTGATGTATTATGCAAAGTTCACTTACCTTTATTCCGTTAAATTCCTACGTGTTATTACAAAGTTTATTTTTATTTTAAGAGGAGAAGAAAAATACTTGAATGCGAATTTGACGACAAAAATAATTATTCAAGTTTACCAATAATTGAAAATGATAATGGGTAAGTCGGGCGCACTTTTGAGTCCATAGATTTATGAAATTATAACCAGAATTTATGAAATTTGATGTGATATTTTTTGTGGGTACCATATTATAAATAATATGAGCCTTTTCAAATATATAGCTAAAATATGTGTCTAAATAATTTATTACAAGTAATTCCGTTTTGTTGTTATGTAAGATCTAATATAATTTATTCTTTATTGCAGGCTAAATACGAACAATGACGATACGGCAGTAAATGACTTGAGTCAAGAAACCATATAATTACAGTATACCTGTCTTGGTTCAACTGAAATGGTTGAAGATGTAAAGTTTTGTTTATTTAATTTTTTGGTTTGTAGGTATTATGGTGCACAAATGTGTACTTACCTAATCAAAATACTTTAGTAGGTATTGTGATTAGGTACATACTTGTGCTTATGATTAGGTAAAAGATATCTAAGTAAATACTGTAAAATGCCATAATTTGTCTTACCTAGCCTTACTTTGCCTAAACCGATCATTTGAATTTCATTAGTAGGCTATTCGAGCTAGAGTTAAACTTAAAGTTATATCCTATATACGTCCAACTCCTGGGCACAGGCCTCCCCTCATTTCTGAAAGGGTCCTAGGAAAGGAATCGTCCACCGCGCTGCCCCAATGCGTATTGGCGAACTTCGCAAGTCTTCGAAATATTTTTTTTCTTATTTCTCAGACATGCAGGTTTCCTCTCGATGTTTTCCTTCACCACTGAGCACGTGGTAAATCAACACTTAAAATTGCAATTACAATTCCTTTGGTGACGGCGGGGATCGAACCCGGTTTGCTCGCGCACTGTGAAAATTTCAGCAAGCGCTAAACATCTGAGCTACCATGGCTCCTCTCCTCTCGAGCTAGAGACTTTATTTTATTTATGGTACGATTTTTGTCGCATGCCAGCGCTTACTTTTGGTTCTGGCAAAACGTTATGAAACGTCTATGAATGTCAGAATTGTGCAAATGTTGGTCGCAGATATTTTACCTGCACTTCAAAATTTTATTGTTGTGTATTTTAAACTATTTTTACGGATTTGATGAACCATATTAAAAAAAATAGTCTCCTATCTTTCTCTCTATGTTTTGATCTTCTAAAACGAGTTTGAGTTGGTAAAATCAAGGCAAACTTAGGGTAGGGTTGTCAATTATTATTTTGATAATAAAACTAGTGAAATTCCGCGGTTTTATATTCGCAAGCGTGAACGTAGTTAGAATATAATATAACCTTTATGTTTTACATAAATATCCTAAAATACTTATTATTTTAATATGTTACTACCTATAAAATTAACAAGTTTATTGCATTTTTATTTGGGTAATTTTTTATGCAATTTCTTTATCTACGTCTATTTTTAGGAACCTTTATTCAGTCTGAATCATACATAACACTATATTACTGATTTACATACTTATATAAGAAGAATAATAATTGACGTCAGCCACTTCTTTTTATTAAAATTTCAAATCATGGTCCATTAGGTTGCAGCATCACCGAACCACAACTTATCGGAGAAACACAAAAGGCTTAGAGTCAAAATTTACGCTTAAATGTCAATTATGTAACCAAAAATTTGTAATAGTAAACGATGATTGTAGTGAAATTTATTTATCATTAAATGAATGTGCAGTCGCAGGTATGATTGAAATAGGCGCGGGAAATTAGCAACTAAACGAGCTATTGTCATCAATGAATCTTCCTTCTTTATCCGAATATATATATATATATATATATTATACCCAATTATTGAAAAAATGGGAAAGTGTTTCAATAGAAAATAAAATTTTGACTGTAGGACTGTCAAATGTGAAGAACTGTACACAGTGATGGTGAAGCTTGCACGTCTCCAACCAGCTCCGGTCAATCGCTCGTCCCCGTATGACCTCATACCGCATAACAGACGGTCTCCAAGTTACAAGAGCTGGGGTAGGAAGCTCTCCGTCATTGGCCGTACTGACTAGACCTTGCGCCAACAGACTTCCGTTCTTTACCCGTCCAGTTGATTTCTTCAAGAACGGCATCAATAAACTACCACTGCGCTGGCAAAGATGCATCGATTGTATGGGTGATTAATTTGAATATCAAATTAAAATTTTATTCAAATAACCAGTTCAGTTTTTTCTATTATGTCAATAAGATCAAAAAATATTATTCATGTAACTTGTATCTAAATGTAATTTTATATATATATATATATATATATATATATATATATATATATATATATATGTATATATATATATCTATATTATATCTATATCTATATCTATATATATATATATATATATATATATATATATATATATATATATATATATATATAGGGTGCTTTGGGGTAACCTCGAATCTGGGGTAATTTCAAAAATCAAACATTACTACAATACAGAAAGTTATATTGTTTCCTGGCAGCACTGACTTCGACGCCATGTTGACCTATTCCCAGATTTCAGTTCACTCTGTTCGCTCTCAGCAGGTACGTGTGTTGTGTGTGACATTTTATAAAAAAAAGTGCGTTTTCGTGGATTTTGTGGAGTTTCGAAGTTACCCCACATCATTTTATTAAGTGATTTGGTAAGTTAAACGATTTATTGTCTTTTTTATCAATGGATTGACGTTTTTGACGCATTTTTAGATTATCTTTATCATTATAGCTACAGTTTTAAAAATACTTACAAAATTGCCCCATAGGTAAATTTCGAAAGATTATGCTTTTGACCAGTGGTTCTCAAATTAATATTTTTTTTATAAGTACTTTATTGCGCTGTAATAAAAATGTAATAGAATCACAATTAAACAATTTTTGTACTTTTTTTTGTAAGAGTTTAATTATTATGAAAGCTGATATTAGGTGCAATAATTTTGTGAAATCAAAAATTAACAGTTAAATGAAAATAATTTTTTATTTTGTTTGTTTGCAGGAGTTAATACCTACCTACTAAAGATTTATTTGATGAAGAGACTGGTAAGTAAATTCAAGATATTTTCTTATACATGTAATTGAAAGTTGGCTGGTTAAGTGACCGGGATAATGACGTAGTGAATGTGCCGAACTGCTTGTCAACAAATTGCTTTAACAATTTAGCATTTAATAAATTTTTGCTAAAACTTTACAAAAGTAAAAAATTAATATTAAAAATATCACAATACTATTTTAGCACAAAAATATACATAGCTAAAAATTTTGAATTAAGGTTTTTCTACTAAGTAGGTAAACAATTTGTGGTAAAGTAATAAAACTACTCTTTTGAAGTCAATTTATTTTTTAAATTAGTATTTTGATATCAGTTCATCATATTAAACAGATAATGCAAAAATTTAGAAATTATGTCTGTGGAATATACCTACCTACTGAAATTCAAGTGTGAAGTATCATTTACATACTAAGTATTTAATTTAATTTTTCAGAGTGATGCCTCGAAAATATATAAAAAAGAAAGTGCAAAAATATTCCCAAGAAGATGTTGAAAAAGCAGTGGAAGAAGTCAACCAGGGGATATCTTCAATTTACGGTGCTGCAAAAAAATATAGCATTCCCACAACGACTCTTTTTGATAAAGTGAAACTAAATCACATCCAAAACATTGGTAGACCACAAGCTATCCCTTTTCAACAAGAAGAAGAATTGGCAAATGGCCTTCGAATTATGGAGAAATGGGGGTTTGGTCTGTCTAGAAACGAAACGCTTGATGTAGTTACTGACTATGTTGCGAAAAATAACCTTAAAACTCCGTTTCATAACAACAGACCTGGCCCAGATTGGTTTCTTAATTTTAAAAAAAGGACACCGATTGTCAATTAAAAAACCTCAACCTCTTGAATATACTCGAAAAAAAATGACAGACCCATTTATTATTCATGAGTATTTTCAGCTACTAGGAAATACATTAGCCGATCTCAATTTGTTTGACCGTCCCGATTTAATTTGGAACTTGGACGAGACCTCTCTGTGTCTAGATCCTTCAAAGACGAAAGTAGTAGGTGCGGTTAACAAGCCTTGTTGCAGCGCAACATTTGGCAGTGGCAAAGAAAATATTACTGTTTTAGCGGCCGCAAATGCCGCTGGCCAAAAAATTGCACCCTTAATAGTATTTAAGGGGCAATATGTATGGAAACAGTGGACGACTGATAAAAAAGATTATGAATTTGAGTTGACATACGCATCAAGCAGCAAAGGTTGGATGGAGGGTACGATATTTGTGAATTACTTGAAAAAAGCATTATTTCCGGCGCTCGGTGAAGAACGCCCCGTTTTGATTATTTACGATGGCCATTCATCTCATGTGACTGTAGATGTCGTACAACTGGCTATCCGACATGGAATCACAATCTTAAAATTACCACCTCACACCTCCCACTTATTACAACCATTGGATGTGGCGGTCTTTAGATCATTTAAGTGTAAGTGGGATGCTAAATTAGTTATATGGCAGCGCCATAATGTCGGACTTAAAATGCCTAAAAATGTTTTTTCTCAAACGTTTGCAGACACGTGGCAAGAAACAAATGCCGAGATAATAAAAAGCGGCTTCAAAAAAACTGGAATATATCCGTTCAACCCTGATGTATTAACACAGGATATATTTGAACCAGCTGCCTACAAACGATTTAAAGAAAAGCTACGCACAAATGCTCTCAAAAATCCGAAACCTCTGCAAAATTTATGTATTGACGTTTTTAATAAGATTTTACAGTTTGCACCTGACTTAGAAGAACAAGTGGAACGAGTAGTTACACACACGAATACTCAAAATGTCACCTTCTTATCAGACCTTTCAAGAAAAGATAATCAGACGCAGTCTTTTTTGGCAAATAATATTTCCAGTTTACCAGATTGTCTAAAATGCAAGCAAAATGTAAAGCCTGAGCCAAAAATTAAAATTTTATCCAATGTAAAGGTCAATTTTCAAGAATTGCTGCTCGACAAAATAAAACAGGATAAGAAGGATATTAATTATCAAACAAAGAAAACACGTGTTGCTAAAGGAGCTGAAATAATAACTTCTAAACAATTAGAAGACTTGGAAAAGCAAAGTAACGAAACAGCGTTACAAAAAGCTAAGCCGAAAAAAAGGAAGTCAATAAAAGATATAGATTTCGCAGATGTGGGACCTTCAGGTATAAAAAAAGTGAGTAAACAGAAAAAACAGGGTAAGAAAAAACATAAAAAGGAAATAGATTCGAATGAATCTTCGTCTGATATTTCTGATTTTATAAGCCTCTACAGTGACGACATAGACATTGATCAATATTATAACGATGAAACACTCAGAGAAGAAAATTGGCCAGATGATTTAAATTTTGAGATGGATACTTTAAATTCTTTGGAAACATATGAGAATAAAGAAATTTCAAATGAAGTTAAAGAATGCGAAAATGGAAATCCTCATACCAAAACTAAAAATAAAAGTGTGGGTAAAAAGAGTAAAGCAAAAGAAAATAACCAAGGCTCAAAAGAAACTAATGAGAGTGATGATGACTCTAGTGTAGTAGGTAATATTAACAAAAATTTAACAAATACCACAGAAATTGAAACACTACAAGAAAATTACTGCGTAAATGATTCCGTGTTAGTCAGATATTACGTTAGAAAAACATGGAAATACTATATTGGATTTATAAAAGGAATAAAAGAAAAAGACGGAAATAGATTATATTGTATCGCTTATTTAAAAACTATGAAAGCACCCCAACTTTGTTTCAGAGAAACTAAAAAATTAGATTATGATGAAATTACAAATATATCTATAGTAAAGAAAATAAATTTGCACAGAATGAATGATAAAATGTATAGATTGGTTAATGAGAGCGACAACATATATTTTTAAGTTAATTATGTTAAATAGTTTTCTTAAGTCTGTAGTAGCATAGGAGAGCGAAGGAACAAAAACCCTTGTAACCATTTTTAAGCACAGAGTTACGTTGCGTTTTCATATTCCGGGTTTAGGAAATGAAGTCTTAATATACTTACCTAAAATGGTCTGATGTGTTACCTACTAACTACTAAGTTTAATGAATAACTTTATGAATAATAAACTTAATAGGTAACGCATCAGACCATTTTAGGTATATTAACGCTTCATTTCCTAAACCCATATATATGACCCCAGATGTATATCTTTTGAGAATTAGCTATTTTCTATTTTCTAATTTGTATTCTAATTCTAATTGTTTAAGAATATTTTCTTAGTCCTTTTTGGTAGTTAAAAGTATTAATGTGAATGTGAAATGTGATGTGTTTAATGTAAAGTTGTTTTTTTATTACCTTTTGCTTTAGGTACCAGTTTTATTTCATGTAATGTCTTAACTGTTTGTTATGTACAATTCTAAAAATTTATTATTTGTCTTTTGTATTTTCAAAATGACAATTGCAAGACTGATTACGATAAGATGGAGTCCATGAAAATGACGTGATCTAATGTAAAGGTGCAAACTTAAAAATAACTAGGTAATTATTACCTACTTGATTAGCAGCTAGTTTATGACAACTGATGTGATCTCGTACTAAGTTAAAATACTTCTTTTTTTAAAAATAATTTAAAATTAGGTACCAATTCGAGTTGGTATTAAAAAAAAGGTTGTGATTACTTAAAAAAATCATAGAATTGTTTATTAATTTAAACTACTTAATTATGAACAATTTCGAAGTATGGTCTTATAACTTCGTATTTTCAATTTTCTAAGTTGTTTTTTTTGCATATGTTTAAGAATATTTCTTAGTCCTTGTTTGTAATTATAAGTATTAATGTGAGCAGATGTTTAATGATAAGTCGTTTTCTTACCTTTTGCTATAGGTACCAGTTTTATTTCATGTTTTCTTAACTGTTTATGATGTACAATTATATAAATTTATTATACGCCTTTTGTATTTTCAAAATGTCAATCTCAAGGCTGAAGATAAGATAGTCCATGATAATAATTGATACGGTCTAATAATAAGTGAAGATGTATACTTAAAAATAATTGATATATCTTGATTAGCAGCTGATTTACGACAAAAACTCAATGTGATCTCATACTAAATCATAAATAAACTGATTCAAATATTTTTATTGTTTTGTTTTCCCTGCCTACCGATAATGTAAAAAAATGTTGAGAAACACTGACTTGCCATGGGGTAATTTCGAAAATAAATTCTTAAAAAATTTGTAACAAAAGTTGTGTGGCCATTAGGAAAGAAAAAAAAACTTTGGGGGAATTTAAAATCAAAAAAAGAATATGTACCTTAAAGCCATATCGCACAAAGAGCATTTTTGACTGTAATTCGAAATTGCCCTACAGTATTTCGAAATTACACTTGAGGATCAAAAAATCTAACTAATAATAAAAATTAAATTTTGATATCTAGCAACTACGTTAGAATACTTTTGAAATGAGCTTTTTTTCACAAAATATGTAAACTACATAAAACTTGTGCTTGTTTCAGGAAAAAATTTACAGATTCTGACTTTTGATAGAAAACATAAATGGTCTATTAACTTCATATAAATCCTTTCGAAGTTACCCCAAAGCACCCTATATATATATATATATATATATATATATATATATGGGCGTATGTATGCGCATATGTGTTAATTTGATAGCTGCAGCTGTTTGTTTATAATTTAAGGAAGTTAAAAAATTTGTAATCAATTTCTTACATTCAAGATAATAAAATTGACTTTATATTTTATTTTGTTCTACTTATTAATACCCACCCAGTATTACTAATCACAAATAATCACAATACCTCATTAGTTATTGTAATTGGGTAAAAAATATCTATTTAGTTACTAATGCTATATTTATTATTTTAATAATTACCTACCCAGTAGGTAAATATTAAAATAATAAATGTAGCATTATAAACAGTAAATCTCCCTCAAACTCAATTTACTAATATTGTTCCTAAATAAGGAATAGCAGATAAAAGATTAGTAGGTAATAACTATTGCTCCTCAAAATCGAATCCATAATTAACATTTCGACAAATATTATAATTTACACTATAAAAAGCTAATTCAATATTAGCAGTATAGTATATAGTTAAAAATAATCAAAATAGTCATTTTTATTAATTAGACAATATATGAGAATACATAATTCTAATATAATGCAACTAATATACCGAATAAAGAAAATTAAAATACATTTATCATTGTATGCCGTGTCTATTTCCATAAAATAGTTCATTGACATTGAAAACTTAATACTACGTTCGTACCAGTAGGTGGCGTCTTGCAGATTTCTTACGCGATATATTGTAGCGAGCGTCGGCAGACCGGATGCTCAAGGTCGTTCGCTAGGGGTATGGCCGTACGTAGTAAAGCAACACTTGAATATTCATTAGTATTGGCGAGGCCAACCCTATGATGACTGACCAAACCAAATAATTGCGTAGTGTAAAAGTAACAGAGCATTTAGCCCACGAACTACCAGACCTCCCTTCTCCTTCCAGATTTTCTGTTATAATGATATACTTTGCTATACCTTACTTTATTGTATTTAAAACTACTAAGCAACCCTTTACTTTCATGTACATCGAACTGTTTTATAAAACTAAATTTAACTAACCCATTCGATGACTTAAATAGCCTTTCAATGTATTTGTTAATGTACACCGGCCACAAACATGAAGTGTCATATTTAAGTAGCTGTATTTACAACGCCGCTTAAACCATGGCCAGTAAAGATTTCATCTCCTAAACTCGAGAATTTTAAACGCCACATAAAATCATGGTAGAGCGTTGTGAGTTAGGCTGCATCGTAAAAATGTCCCAACGCCTTGGTTTATGGCCAAACCCTCGGGTTGGGGAGTATGAATTTGTATGTGTTTAACTTACTCTTGTAGCCTTTCGATTTACACGTGAATCTGTTTCAATTGATTTTTAATAACTTTAATATTGTTTTTTAATTATTTGAGACTTCAAATTCTTATTTTAAAACAAACTTAAAGTAACGTTTTAATCAAAACATTTAAATTTTTTGATTTAGGGAATAAAAATGACAATAGCTCAAAGAGATTCTCGTTTAAAATTAGGCGCACCGGCACTACTAAGTTAGTAACTTATAGGTGAGGTTTTTTTTAAATCGACCTGTCCTGCACTATAAAATTGTTAATTGCATTAAGGACGCGTTTACAAAATGGATAGGTATAGAATCGCACTACTACATTGACAAAAGTCACACACACACTAGTGTACGCACGGTTGGCTGTGGGAATCGTAGTCAAATGAAATTATTTTGATAATTTGAAAGATTGAATTTGTTTTTCATTTCTTATACCTACCTCAGAAATATACTTCGATACGAAATATGAATACCTGCTCCAAAGACTGCTTGGCACTGGAAGCCCTCTACTGTAGTGAGATGTTAGCTCTGGACTTTGAACTGGTTTTGTCAGTTATAATAACACCTTACCTACCTGCGGACTTGATGGAGTGACCTGAAGGTGTAATTTGGTGATTACAACAGAAACTCCTAGACTAGTGGAACTGGGTGTGCCGAGTTTGGGTTCGTTTTGTTGGTTATGATGAGACCTTACCACCGGACTTGATGGAGTGACCTGAAGGTGTAATTCGGTGATTACAAGTGGAACTCCTAGACTAGTAGAACTAGGTGTGCCGAGTTTGGGTTCGTTTTGTTAGTTATGATGAGACCTTACCACCAGACTTGATAAAGTGACCTGAAGGGGTAATTCAGTAACTACTGCTGGAATTTCTGAACGAGTAGAACTAGGTGTGTCGAATTTGGGCTCCGTTTTGTTAGTTATGACGAGTCCATACCTCCGGACTTGATGGAGTGACCTGAAGGTGTAAATCGGTGATTGCAACTGGAACTCCTAGACTGGTAGAACTAGGTGTGCCGAGTTTGGGTTCGTTTTGTTAGTTATGATGAGACCTTACCACCAGACTTGATGGAGTGACCTGAAGGGGTAATTCAGTAACTACTGCTGGAATTCCTGAACGAGTAGAACTAGGTGTGCCGAATTTGGGCTCCGTTTTGTTAGTTATGACGAGTCCATTCCTCCGGACTTGATGGAGTGACCTGAAGGTGTAAATCGGTGATTGCAACTGGAACTCCTAGACTGGTAGAACTAGGTGTGCCGAGTTTGGGTTCGTTTTGTAGGTTATGATGAGACCTTACCACCGGACTTGATGGAGTGACCTGAAGGTGTAGTTCGGTGATTACAAGTGGAACTCCTAGACTTGTAGGAGTAGGTGTGCCGAGTTTGGGTTCGTTTTGTTAGTTATGATGAGACCTTACCACCAGACTTGATGGAGTGACCTGAAGGGGTAATTCAGTAACTACTGCTGGAATTTCTGAACCAGTAGAACTAAGTGTGCCGAATTTCACTCCATCAATTCCGGTGGTAAGGTCTTATCGTAACTAACAAAACGAAACCAAACTCGTCACACCTAGTTCTACTAGTCTAGGAGTTCCATTTGTAACCACCTGATTACACCTTCAGGTCACTCAATCAAGTCCGGTGGTAAGGTCTCATCGTAACTAACAAAACGAACCCAAACTCGGCACATCTAGTTCTACAAGTCTAGGAGTTCCACTTGTAATTACTGAACTACACCTTCAGGTCACTCCATCAAGTTCGGTGGTAAGGTCTCATCATAACCTACAAAACGAACCCAAACTCGGCACACCTAGTTCTACCAGTCTAGGAGTTCCAGTTGCAATTACCGATTTACACCTTCAGGTCACTCCATCAAGTCCGGAGGTATGGACTCGTCATAACTAACAAAACGGAGCCCAAATTCGCCACCCCTAGTTTTACTCTGCAAGAAGTTCAAATAGCGGTCACGAAAGTACACCTTCAGGTCACGCCATCAAG